TCACTCTTGGGGCCATACCGAGACAGGAGGTGTAGTTGAAGAAGGAGGCTGGCCATAAATCCAAGAAGGTAGAGCCAGGCCAGCGCCAGAGGAGCCTTGGAGAGCAGGAACAAAACGGTGCATTGTTGCAGACTGAGGATGCGTTAAGGTGACAGCGTCACAACACCTTTGAGAAAATCAAGAGCTGCCCCCAGGTAGGTCAGCCGTTGTGATGGATCAAGGGCCGACTTGTCATAATTGATGAGGAACCCTAGGCATGTCGTGACATCGAGGGTGAGAGAAGTGGTAGAATTTGCTTCGTCAGGGCAGCGGCCGACGATCAACCAGTAGTCTAGATATTAAAAAATAAGGATGTCGTGCTGTCGTAAGTAGGCGGCAAGAGTCTTGACGATCCTGGTGAAGACCCTTGGTGATGTTGAGAGACCGAAAGAAAGGCCCGAAACTGAAAGGTCCAGTCGATGTACTCGAACGGGAGTTACTTGCGGTGTTGCTTGTGTATCAGGATATTCGAAGATATGCATCCTGTAGATCTTCAAAGTGGCCCAGCACAGAACAGGTAGAGAGAGTAGGACCACGCTCAGAGTCTCCATTCGAAACTGCCTCGGCCTGACGAACTTGTTGAGCAGTTTCAGATTGATTATTGGTTGCCATTTTCCCGGGTCTTTTTTGGGTGCGAGAAAAAAAGACAAAAGGAAGCCAGTGGATGGCTCATTTGTGTAACAATGCTGCAATCTCCTCCTCCAGAGCCAGGCGCTTGAGTTTGTCACATGGAGGAGGTGTGGAGTGGAAGACCATCCTGGACGGCGGGGAGCTTGTGAACTCAAGGAAATAGTTGTGAGCAATGGTAGAGAGGACCCAGCTGTCCGGGGTGATTTCCCGTCAGAACCTGATGAAGTTGCCCAGGCGACCGCTGACGGGTTCGGGATCGGCGGCCGCCAAAGGCAAAAGGAAGTATTCACCGACGCCGTCCCCCATAGGACCGGGGGCATGGCATGAAGAACCATGGCCGGGAGAGAACGGCTGAAAACTTCTTGGAGCCGATGTAGGAGGAGCTCGCTGCTGGGCCAATGACTGAATAGCCACCCGGACTGGACGGTTAAAGGGGCGAGCAACCGGTGGTGCCTGGTTCACTCGTCTTCTCAGCCATGGTGGAGGCTGACGGTGTGGAGGTGCAGGTTCACAAATTGATATTTTCTTAGCAGTCTCCAAACGTTTAATCTCCGACTCAAGGACTTCAGTGAACTTCTCAGCAAAGAGATCACCCCCAGAAGGTGGAGGCTCATGAGCCTATTCTTGACGGACCCATAGGGGATATCCATGGTGTCTACCACGTTGGATCTGCAGGTACAAGCGGCCAGAATGGAAATGCAAGTGAACTGTTCAAAGATCATTCAAGTCCCTCATCAAGGCTTCGTAAAGATAGGGCCGAAAAGTCTGGAGAGACCGGAGAGTCTTCTTTACAGGCCCGGGCAATACACTCAGATAGAAGGACAAGAAAGCCCAAACATCGGAAGCCAAAGCGGGATGCCGTATCAATGCGACGGAGGGATACAGGTCAAGCGTAGCTTTGTCCTTATCCCGGAAGGTTTTCACCTAGCCAGACTCAAATGAGATCTTGTCTCTGGCAGCGTTAGAAATATCTGGGGTTAACAGGAAGCGAGAAACATCCGTCCGAGGAAACCGGTAATAAGATGAAGCTCTGGGCAGGAATGCATGCCAGTGTTTATCCTTCACCAGGGCATTCATCATTTCCACACAAGAACAGTCCAGGGGAATATCTGGAAAGACGGGCTCAGCTGACTCATGGCGTACAGGGTGGCACTTGATCTCTGCTCTGTTCATGTTCTGTTGTTGAAGGGGTTCTGGGGTTGAAGGCCAAGTTCAGAGGGAGGCGGATCACCTTGAGTCGGGTTTGGTCTGGCACTGGAACTTATTGGGGAGATAGATCTGGACGAACAGAAGTCACACCGGACTCAGAAGGACGCCCGTGAGTAGGAGGCGGAACGGCCGGGAGAGGATCCGGATCAGGCCCCGTCACCACTGGCTGCGGCTTAGAGTCTATCTTCCTGGCGAGCAACGAGAAGGCCTCCGAAAGAGACTGGAGAGTCGCCATCCATGGAGGCTGATCCGGCTGGGAATGGCGTCTCTTCTTGGTCTTGGATGAGGAAGAAGCCGAGGAGGATCACTTGGCTTTGCACTTCTTGGACTTTGTCGAAGCGGGGGACTGGAGGCCAGCACAGGCGGAGGAAGGGCCGGGCAAGGATCCCCCGAAAGGTTGGTCGTCTCTAGCGAAGAACGTCTGAGATCAAGATTAGTAGGCTCATGACCGGAATCCACCGGCAGGTTGGAGCTGCAAATGAGCTGACGGAAACCCCGGTGATGTAACAGTCCAGAAGGGGCACCATCGTCCGAGGCAATGGGAGGCTTAAAAGCATACAGGGTTGTAGGCTCACCCGTGACTGAAGCGGTGGAGCATGGCGATCCCCCTGTGGAGCCCGCTGTCCACCTGGAGGGAGTAGACTGGCCCGACTTCCGAGCGGATGTCACCCGGCGAACAGGGGCTGGGGCAGACGGCGGACCGTCCTCGCAGGCCCTAAGGAGCCATCAGTCAGTAGGGCCATCCGGGGATGCGGTAGGCATGCCCGGAACCTTCAGCATAACAGGAAGGGACAGCTCATTACTCCCAACGATAGTGATCAAAGGCATTGATGCAGAAAATCCGTTCAACCCGATGAATAGGTGTAGCCTCGGGGCCCACCACCTCAGGCCCATGGACTGCTGGGCTGCCCACAGCCGCCGGGAGTGGGCATTGAAGACGACGACAGAAGTCCAGCAGGCTTGTCTCGGTGGTGGGTGGTAGTCATCAGTGATCAAGGGCTTTATTAAGGAACCACACCCTCAGCCTGATCAATCCTGGTAGTGGTCATCAGAGATCAAAGGCTTCGCGGTACTTCGGTCCGCCTGATCTATAGAGGCTGTTTTGATCTAGGAGTTTCAGTACTCTGGTTCTCTCTAGTCAAGGAGGGTATCCGATCAGGTATTGTGGTACTCCCATCTGCCTGATCGTGACGATCCAGGCCCGGGATGCCTCTGCCCTGGCCTACTCGGATCTCTCCTGGTCAAGGCCATTAATCAGAAAACGCAAAACCGCACCACAGGGGAGTGGGCGGCTCACTAAGCCCTGCTCAGCGGCCACACCTGAACTGCGTTGGGCCATTATTATTCGAACGCGAGCACCACATAGTGAGCAAAGGGCCCTATATGATGTATAGAAAAAAAAGGGGCAGAAAAGAACCACCAGAAAACATAGCATGCAAGAAACGAAATAAGCACTCTTACTAATAGACAAGAAAACACTTCATTTCGTAAAAGGTATCAAGTCAAATCAGTAGCACGAAAGGTACGGAACTTGAGAATTTGAGGAGTCATAAAAGACACATCCATAACTATAGGCGCTGAGAAAAGAAGGATGAACATGGCAGCGGGACCGCATTGCATTGTGGTGGGTCAGGGGGCAGCATGCATAATCAAGTCTTTTCAGCGAATTGTAATAGGCACATGGAAAATTTGGATATGTAAGCTGGACAGGGTTATGTGAACACAGGAGACTGCACAATATACGCTTCTAAGGCTTTGTTTGGGCACTTCCAACTTCAAAATTAGAGAACTGCAATTATGTCAATCCTTCAATGTTATAAATTTTGATTTGTATTATGAATATATGCGACAAATTAAGAAAAGACAGCTCATGATTTTTGTCAGGTGACACCACAGAAAGACTTTATTATCTTGTTCCCAAAATATTTTTGATCTGGTAGACAACACCATTGTTCTTCTGGTCTCAAAGTATTTCATGATCTGGGCTGTTTTCCAATACCCAACTTCGTCTCCGTCTCAGTCTTTGTCCCTGAAACCAATCCCCGATTGTGAGCCTGAAGCGTTTAAATCAAATTGGATTATAAGTTATTGCTCTCTTGGATCTTATAGTGTTTTGTGGCACTATTAGACTAATGAGTGTGCTTACAGCTTCAAAGTCAGGTAGTAAAAAAACAGTTGAAGCAAGAGACGGAGCTGAAGTTGAGTATTGGAAAATGGCCCTGGCTTACTAGAATAAAAAAATGAAATGCCAAAGGAGAGTAAGTTTTGTACAACACAGATACCGGTGGGCTATGCTATCCAACATGGAGATGAAAACGTAATTTATTGCTGACAGCAGGGGAAATACATGCACGTCGGAACTTCACTCAATGTACTCATAATGCAATTAAGTTTCTGAGGCCCCTTTTGTTAGAGCCAATCATCGCGGGACGTCTCCATGTTTACTGCTTTGTGTCACGACCTATGAACTTCATTCCAGTCTTGGATTGGAAAATTTGCATCACGTGGTGAATGATTACATCTTTCACGAACAATTTTTAAATGTGGCGAATTTCGCACAAAGAGCTTCCCCAACAGTTAAAAAGTTTGCTCTTTCAACCCAAATTTTTTTAAAAACTGCAGGATAACATGTGGAGAACCTTTACATTTGTCATCTCTAGTTATTTGTGCACTCAATTCTGTTCAGAAAATATATTCCCGCAGTTGCTGGAATGAAATGAAAGAATTTAAGGGTTCAGCTGACGGCTATCTTTAAAAACAAGTTGTTTTTAATATATTTGATAAATAGAATTGCAGAAGGGTTTTCCTACAATTAACCACTTCATGCCGGGGCATTTTTCAACGTTGATGATGCTGGGCCCGGCATGACTATCATTTGTTCCGTTTTCAAAATCCTTCAAAAATTCATCATTCCATTTAACGGTCGTTTATAGCCGCACAAAGTAATCTTTAGACACTACTACAAGTTGACAGGTGACCTTCATTGACGCCTGAGTATTTCAGTCAGGCCTGCAGCCTTGTAAACAGAGCCCAGATTGTGCGGTGTTATACAACTGTCTTTTGTTCATGAACCTGGCTCAGTGCACAGCTGACCTCTTTTCAATAGGGGCCAGATTAACGTGCAGCGGTGCTGTGTGGCTAATCGCTGTGGTGGTGGAGCGCTTTTGTCCCCGATGGTAATCCGCTTGCTCTCAATGCCCCAAACCCTGGTATACTGTTTCAAAACAATGCTGGATTATCACCCCGTTTGAGAGTGAAAAATGCCCGTAATGCCCAGCAGCCTGGTCTTTTGTTCGGAGTACGGTCTTTTGTTACAGGGCCCTGTTTCCTTTGTCCGAGTTCGGAGACCTCGGCCACGCATATAAACCATACGGGTCCGATTTCGGAGTCCCCGGCTGGTAGTGGTTAAAGAAGATACAAAGGTGAAGAAAATTTGTGTTTAAGAAAAATTCATCCCAGCTACGCATTTTAAAAGAGGTCCTTGGGACTTGGCCGATTACCTTGTATTATCAGGAGAAAAAAGGATGGGGACCTAACCCTTGTTATATTAAAGACGAATGTTGTATTGACTGTGTTCTCATGACCGAGGTCAGACTAATTTGTCTGAACCCAAACAGCTCCGGGGGGGGCGGTTAGAATCTGCCCCTCCTTATCTTCCAATATCCTCACAGTGCAATTTTTAAAACACCAAACCTTAAGGAAATTTTCTAGTAATAAGTTTCAGTCATTTTGATCCCAATTTGGTGAATATCAGACATGTTCCTTTCGTGTGCTACACCTATTTTTTCAAAAGAGCTCATCGGCCCAAAATGCCAACTTTTCCAAATGATGTGAATGCAAGCCGAAACAAACATGGCCTTAAAATGACAGCAACAATAAAGCCATACCTCTGTTCTGATCATAATGAACATGTCTACATGCATGTCAAGTCTAAGAAAGATCGGGCATAGAAAGCCGAGTTTAAAATGGGGAGTGGGGATGAAATGGTCTGAAACAATGTTCTGTTAAATTGTCTGGGGAAAAACAGCTATTTTATGGCTAAATAATTTTTTCAATTGCCAAATTTTTCAAAAGATATTCTTACAGCACCTTTGCCTATGAATTCAGTGTTGCTCATTTCTCTAAACACATCAGAAGAAATAAAAAACCAACATAACAGTGCCAACATACATGTAAAATACACAATCTGTTCCTTACTTCTGATATATCCCCGAGGTTTGAGAAAGAATCAATCACTACTTACCCAGACATCTTCATCAAGAAAATTGATTCTTCAGGATGGCAGATCATTGTGATTGCAGCACTGAAAGAAGGGAATAACAAATTTTGTTAAATCTTCAGCAATTTGGTGCAATGATTTGATGTTTGTAAGTAACTCCAGAAACAAGACACATGGCTTACACAAACATCTTCCAATTTACCCTGCCATGTGTGACTACCATGCATGATATTACTGAGACTAGGAGTTAGGATTGGACTCTCCATCTTGGATGGTGTCAGGCTCACGTCTACCTGCTTCTTTTGTAACTAAAGCCAGAGCTAGGATTGGTCACTCAAGCCTGGATGGTGGCAGGCTCATGCCCACCTGCTTTTTTAAATTTGTTGATAAAGCCAGAGATAGGATTGGCC